TTAGGGTTGTGGGTTTAGGGTTGAGGAGTTCATCTGGCTGCCATATGTAGCTTGGTAGCTCTGAGACGAGGGACTGCTCGCCTCCCATAGAACGAAAAAGGCCCCCATGGAGGATGAATACAACTTCAATAAAGTGGGTCTTCAAACTAGTATAGAGGATTCAGGGGTGTACATTCTAGTATTCTAGTATAACTATAGCAAGGAGCCCTAAGTACTAATCGTATAAGCCCCTAAACTTTGCAGCCTCCAGCTTGCAACCCCGTACGTCACCCCACAAGCCCTCAGGTGGCGCCTGGTCGTTTCGGTCATGCTGGTATCGGTTCCTGAGCTCTTGCTAGGTTTAGGGCGGCTTAGGGCTTTGGGTTTTTGACTTTGGGGTTCGGTCTAGGGTTCTTAAACACATCATGCCTGGCTAGGGGTGTGCGGCTTTAGGGATTCATTCCAGTTGCCCCCCCCCCCACCCCCAGAAAGCTCCATGCGTTCACAGATGTGGTGAGTTAATGCAGGGGCCTTAACAATCAACATCGGGTTTTGGGGGCTCCTTATTATTATAGTTATAGTATAATATACCCTCCCCCAAACCACATTCTAATTATTAGGCCCCTATATTAGCCACTTATGAACAGAAGCCGCAATCCGCTGGACCTCCAAGGCAAATAATCCCGTGTCTCCGCAGGAAGCGGAATTATTTTTTGCACCTGTTTCATCAAATCTACGAAGGTTTCCAAAACACCAGTCTTAGAACACCCGTGAAGCAGTCAATACAGACTTAGTTACTGCAGGTCTACAAGCTACTCTACCATGGATCCTGGAGTCACCAAAAGTCCCAACTTCTGATCCAGGGCTAGGCTTCTGATTCATCAGCCCATGCTATGACCCAATCTTGGGGGGTCGAGGAGCTTGTTCCCCTTTAGCTCAGGATTTTGGAACATCGACCGCTGTATCGACTCAGCCATCTGTATCTGAAGGTGTGGCTTGCACGGCTGTAACTGCGACGAGTCACGAGCGTCGAGTGCTGCACTTGAGATAGTGGTGACCGGACTGTTTGGGGTTTGGGAAGCAAGGTTAGGGGTGAGGGTTTAGGGTTTAGTGTTTAGGGTTGTGGGTGTGACTTTTTTGAACCCAGGCTCGGAGCCTGCAACAGCTGGGAATCGGCAACAATATGACGACTCCATGCCGGCAAAGCATATCAACAAATCCACCACCATACTACAATACCCTAAATCCTAAACTCTATAAACCCGAAACTCTAAACCCTAAACTTAAACCCTAAACCTCTAGGGGCTTATCTTGCTTTTCTTAGCGCACACTTCCTTGATCGACTCAAGCGGTCCATGCTGCGGCCGGGCTGCTAATATAGGGGCCTTCATAATTAGAATAGGGTTTCGGGTTTAGGGCTTAGGGTTTAGGGTTTGGGTTTAGGGTTTAGGGGTTTAGGGTTTAGGGTTTAGGGTTTTGAAAATTGGGGCCCATTATACTCTATGTATAATAAGGAACCCCCCAAAATAATATAGGAAATTAAAAGGCCCCTATATTACATCATTTGCGGTCTGCAAGTTCACGCCACAGATACTGTGGGTGTCTGTGAAAATGTTGTATAGCCCCTCTCTAGTTAGTCTTTTGCCAGTTAAATTGGGGAACCGGGCAGCATGCCTTGGGAAGGCAGCATAAGAAACACAAGTGACAAACACTCACCCAGATAGCGGCTGAGACACTACTCGTTGAAGTCATGCTCGTGCTGCTTACAGTTGAGGATGTGCTTGTTCGCGAGGTCGCAGTGATACTAGTCGATGTCATACTCGTACTGCTTGCAGTCGAGGATGTGCTGGTTCGCGAGGTCGCAGTGCTCGAAAGTGTGGAAGAACTGGAACTCGTCAAACCTGGCAAATGAAACAAGTAACATGCCCGGGGCCAGCAGCAGTGCACAGCACGTCAAATTTTGGGAGCGGCAGCACTACAGGGGTGCCCTGTTTATAGTGGTGTTTCTATTTCGGAACCTCTTATAGTTTATATGTTCTACACCAAGGTCCCCGAGTTTCTGAAACTTCTATGCCCCAATACCAAGGAGCCCTGTGAAAAGCCCGCAAACCTAATCTGACTCCCCGGCAGGCAGGCGAGCCGCTCTTGGTTGTCGTCGTAGTTGTGGTGCATTCCTTGGTTCAGGAGTGAATTCAAGAATCTAAAGCCCAGAAAAAAGGTCAGTAGAAGCTAGTCTATAGGGGTACTGCGACGGTTACTACTAGTTACTACTCAGTGGTTGATGCAACTTCGGCGAGCCGTATGCTCCGATGCTTGGAAAGTTTTCCTGCGGGCGTGCTGTTCTGTGCAAGTCCTGACTCTTTGTAGGCCCTCGGCGACAAGACTCGCTACAGCAAGCTTACATGGCATGCCTGTGTCAGAAGACTCATCATGTTACCTCTTCGGCTAGATCGCCACCTCAAACCTGTTACGTGCAAGAAGGAGGTGGTGGTGCGAAGGGAAACGGTCATCTTACCTCAGGACCTCAGGACCCGAGTCCCCTGCACCCGACCTGAAAAGCACAAACCCCAAGTCCCAAACGCCAAACCACGGCTGCAGATGGACTTGCGGCCTTGCTTCTCCAGGAAGCAGGTCTCGAAATGCGACCCCACCAGGGTCTGCACACCCTGTGGTCGCCATGTTATATACTCATATTTCCTTAAGAACTATAGGGTTTGGGGGTGTTTTTTATTGGTTGGGGGTTGGGGTCCAGGTGTGGCGTCTTACGGTTTTCGGGACTCTTTGCAGGGACCTTGATCTGGGCCGCCCACCAGATTCAGGCTCCATTCGGGCTCGGCCAAACGGATTTCCCCGCTAAAAACAAAGCGGAGATGCTGCCGCTAGGGTCCCTTTTAGGGTCGTTCTTATAAGGGTGCCGTACTATATTGGGGACTTAAACAGGGACCCTCATTTAGAGAACTACTTCCGAGAATCCTTCAAACCTTGATTCGCAAGGCTTCCTTGGACCCTCAGAAACCTGCCCTCTTATCCTTATCTCAAGTCCCTCAAAGAGGTAGGATTCTTAGGCTCCAGGCAGAGTCAGGGGTCTGATGCCTTGGCTATGGGCTCTCTCCGGCGGCCCCACAAAACGGGCCAGTCTACTATAAAGGGTTTAGGGTTTAGGGTGTTCAAGTTTTACCCTAAACCCTAAACCCTGAAACCTAATGGGTTCAGATGGGTTCAGGGTCTTAGTATTGGAGGCCTAAGACCCTTGCACCCTGCTTGCACCTTGCACCCTCGGTTTGTCGCGGGCTTCGGGCTCAAGCGGCGACAGGGCACAGCTCTGATTTGTTGAAGGCCCCCCTAAAATTACACGAGATCCCCCATAGATCTTAAAGGGAACTCGTAACCGTGAGGCAGCCTCCTCCTGCCAAACCATATTGAAATGACCCGATGCTCCGGACCATAAGCCTTATAAGCCCTAAACCGTTTAGAGGCTTAGGGATGATACTGGAAACCTAAACCCTAGGACAGCACCCCCTCAACCCAACGGTCCTCGCCCCTGCGGCAGAAAGCTGCACTGCCCGTTGGCTGCGCGAACTGAGACTGCAAGGAGCAGGAGCACGATCCTGGGATTCTTTTAAGGATTTGGGGGCTCAGAGGCTGTCGTTTGGGTCTCCAGCATTTGGTGCTTTGAGCCTTGGGAACTACTACTTTCAATATGGGGGTTGAGCAGTGCGGGATCTTCAAACATCTTAGCGACTTGTCGCACGCCAGATGTGCGAGGTTTGTGCACGAAGGTGTCACAGAAACAGAAATGAAGATATGGGCTGACGTGGAGTTTGAGCTTGGGGCGGCACGAACATTTCAACCCCGCGAAACCTCCGAAGAAACCCTAATAAAGAGGCCTCAGTAATTACCCATACTATTTTGGGGGGTTCCTTTATTGTCATTGTAGTATAATATACCCCTTAAAACCCTATTCTAATTATTCAGGCCCCTACATTAACCCTAGACCCCAAGCCCCATTCCCAAAGCTTGCGAGGAAACCTTCAAGCAGGTGAGACCCAAACCAAACCTGAAAGAATGGTGAGGTTTCGAACATCGCACGGCCCTCCCTGCAGATCATCCGAGAGACCTTTTGAAAGATGACCGCATTGGCATGGACATCGTGGATCCGGCTCGGAATGCTTACCAGGGAGCTCAGAGACAACTCCTATCCCGATGTTAAAGCGGAAGGACTGTCTAGCTGGCTCGTGATCCTGCTGCTCCAAGTGAACTGGAGTGCTCGTCAAGTTGCTTAAGAACTTAACATTTACAGAATGTCGACAACTTCAAACCTGGCGCCCCTAGCGCCGCACACAGGGCGACAGCGCTTCGCACTGTGCCTGAGCCATCTCCGGCAGCACCACGGCAGTTGTTTCCTCAACCCTCGAACGACCGAGACCGCGTTGCTTAAACCCCAGTCCCTGGTCAATGGCCCCATAGCGACACAGTGTGCTCTATAACAGAACAGCTGCGCAACTCTTCGTGCTCACACTCGGGCAAACACGCACGGTTTAGGGTTTCTTGTAATTATGGTATAGTGGGCCCCATGCCAAAACCCTGTTCTAATTATCCAAGGCCCCTATACTAGGGTTTCGGGTTTTGGCGGCGGTATGATTTTTTGGCACGCCCAGGATTTCTCTGGACTGTTCTCACGGCTTTCGGAGGCGCTGGCGGCAATGGAAGTTACCATAATAAGGAAACCATATTCTTGGCCATAGATCCCGATTAAGGTAACTTACACAAAATTCCTTAACAAGAACTCAGGGTTGTGGGTTCAGGGGATCACTGCTATGCGCTTTTAAAGTTGCCTGGGCTTGCTCGGGTAACATGACTGTGGAGTCTCGAATGTAAGCAAAGCGATTAGGAGTTAAGGTTTTATGGTTTAGGGTTTTGGGTTTAGGGTTCAAGCACTCCGTGTCCACACACCTGATGTACTGCGAGGCCATTCTGGACAGCTTATTTCACGTATTATCAGAATTGTGCATCAGGTGTTCGAGCAAAATCTAGTTGGGGCTTTTCAACATGCTTCTAGGCTTATGGGTCTTATACTGGCGAAAATGCTGCGGCGGTCATGTTAAACTTCAGGTGGAAACAGGAACTTTGTAATGCGACCAGCACTATCACCACCAGTTTAATCATGAACATGTCAAGCTGCTGACGTATGCAAATGCTGTTGGCCTTGGTGACCATTTCAATTAGCGGAGCGGTAGCATGTAGTTGCTTATACATCTGGCAGCAGCTTCCATTGCAGCCCGGGTGCAAAGCAGTGGCTGCTGGATTCAGCAGCCAAGCGCATTAAGTGCATCAGCCGGTGTGCTGCCGTCTCTGCAGGGGCGAAAACTTAGCAACAACGAATAACAGGAGTGCAGAGTCTGAAAACGGGTGATGAGCAGAAACTTTAACACTGCAGAAATAGGAGCTCACAGTGGAAAGCAGGGCATCATAGTCGTCGCCGTCACAGCCACCGTGGGAGCAGTGGCAAGCACGGGTCATCACAACAACCAGAGCAACAACGACACCATACACACGCAACGACACCGATGGCCCTAACAATGACAAGCGCCACCCCCTACAGAAACAAGTAGGAGTGCAAGGCAAGGGCGAGAGGCAGAGGTCAACGATCGAAGTTTAGAAACCACTCCCAACGAATCCTGAGTTCCTGATGTTTCGAAGCACAACTTAAACCCTATGAGCCCTATAGCTTGAGCACCGAAAAAATGAAAAACATATCTTTTAGAACTTGAGCTGCTGCAGCTGGCGACAGCCGGCGAGTTCCACATTACCTATAGCGCAGCCAGTACTGCCCCGGTAAACAAGCCCTTGCCCGCGCAGAGTCATGGCTGAGGGGCCATACACCTATCAAGTACCCATAGACCCCATAGTAGTTCCTTTTTGGGGTTCATATTTAGAATCCTATAGGGTAATCCCAAAAAGGAACTACTATGGGGCCTATGGGTATACTTTAGCCTGGCTCAGAGAAACCCAGAGCTTCACGCTTGCAAAATCATGCCTCATAAACCGCACTCAGGCAAGAGAGGTCCATGTCCAGCTTGAAATTAATAACTCTCGAGTGCTGGAGCAGTACCGCGCGCTTCCGTAGCAAAAGAATATATCTCGATGCAAACCCGAGACGAACAACCGTTCATGATGTAGCCATATATGTAAGTCAGCCACAAGTACACAAGATACCTTGGTGACATCCGCTATAAAACTATAAACCCGCTGACCCGCAGCTGTAAGCCCATGACCTGATACCACTACTGCCCACACACTAGAATCAGTCTTGATCCGAGTTTAAAGCTACGTACTGAGAAACACTTGCAGTCACAATGGCGGGAGGCGCTGGCTCACGCTCAAAGCGCTGCATGGCTGAACCCAATGCTCAGACAGGAACAACAATCTCCTTCTGCGGAATCCCGGCAGCGGCCTCAAACGGTTCTGAGGTTTGGACTATATTACATTATATTATACTATACTGCACCACCTTATATTATATTAATCTTGCATTATATGAAATTATATCATATATTGCTCTGGCTGCTCGACGTGTTGACGTGACACTGTCCTAATTAGCATGCGGCCCGGGCAGCGGCAAACTGGATTTACCATCCCCTCTTAAGGCCTATTTCGGAAAGGTAGTGTTACATTTACGGGGAAAGCTTTGGAGTTGCAGTCTCCCGGCTCAAGGTCGTGGCTTTGGCTTCGCATGCACGCCTTAGCTCTTGGGGTGTGCATGGTGGGGCTGAGGGTTTCAGCCCTAGAAATCTGAGCCGAAACCAGAACCAATATCAATATCCAGAAAGCTTTTTCAACCCGGATCGTGCAGGAGGGTACAGCGGAACTGCAAAGCCGAGAAGGCTCTCCTTTTTCACACGGGACTCGACGGCTAGCCTTCTCCTAAACCCTAGAAAGTCGTTCCCTCAAATCGAGACAACCCTTAGTAGAGAATCCCTTCAACAGCCCTGTCTGTATTAACCCGCAGCGAATAGTAACACCCAAGACGAGTAAACACGCGCCAGGACCTCTTCTGTGCTTTGGAACTTGGCCCAAAACCAAAACGTTACGGCAGGATTATGCATTCAGGGCGTAAAGCCTCGCGGGTGCAAATAGTGTGAGGATGGCAAGATGTATGTCTTTGTGGTCTTAGCGATTCGGATTCAATCTTGACGGCCTCACCGTTCGACTGTTAAGCCGTATCGGTCTAGGGTTTTGGGTTTAGAGTTTGAGGATCCTTTCACCCACAATGAGGGTCCATGCAGAAAGTAAAACCACGGAAGCCTACACCCGAAACCTTTCTCATTCCATCCACGCCCCAAAAGCTCTGCAGCCAAACTTCGCACACTTCTTTAGTCCAGTTGTCCAGTTTTCGCTCAATATCCCAGTCCTTGATCATGTTGCCTTGGCAGCCGGTGGCAAACCCTCGTCAGTTTCTTTGCTCACCAGTCTTTCCCTCAGTTTTTCGCCCCTAACTGCAACCGCCTCTTTCCGACTGCTCAAAGTCCGAAAGCCCGGCAACTTTCAGGGTTTGGTGATCTTCAGGTTCCGGGCTTTGGGGTTTTGGGGTGTTTTGGGGGGTTTAGGGTTTAGGGTTTCGGCGGTCACACTCGGACAAGCCAGGCGAGGCAAATGGCAGAGCTTTTTTTGGGGGGTTAGGGATCTTAAGGCTTTTGTAAGGACTTTAGTGATGCGTGCGCCCGCGTCTGAGCCCATAATCCTTGACAAACCTTGTCCCAATTCGAATCTGTATACATCCGCGAGCATACCCCAACCAAAACAGAAAGCACCTGGTCTAAACCACCCGAATTCGCTAACACCCGGCCGTTAACTTTCACCTTCCGTCTGACATAACAGCTGCAGGAAGGGATAAGAAACCGAACAACAATACACTGAAACCTCCTCAGAGATGGGGATCCCAACGATTGAGACCTGATAGTCGCATTTTGAACTTGAGGACCGGTTTAGGGTTTAGGGTTTAGGGTTTAGGGTTTAGGGTTTAGGGTTTAGGGGACCCTAAAGAAGGAACCAATAAGAAGCGCTTTAGGGATTCTGAGAATAAGATCTATAAGGATCCGAGTGCTCAGGTTCTCAACGCTAGGGGTCCATTGTGGGTGCTTGAGCGGACACTCACGGGCCTTATCCGGGGCTTTGCATGAACCCGCCAGGTACCTACTATATAGGGTACTAGAGCCCCTAGGGCCCTATATAGTAGGTACCTGGGGGCTTAGGGGAAGCTTTAGAAAAGGACCTGGATCCTCAAGTGGCCGGCAAGGTTGACCCAGCTTATCTATTCATGAAGTGCCTACATTAGCCAAATGGGGGTTTCTGAAAATAGGGGACCCTAATATAGTACCCTAAATAATAGGATCCCTATTATAAGGACCCCAAAATAAGGTACCCCTTATATTCGGAAACTCCCAAATGAACTTGTCCGGATCGAATCTCAAGGATGTCAACTGAAGGCGACAGGGCAGCCAGAACCCTGAACCTGTAATTTACTCTAAGATCTAAACGCGACAATCGCCGCGACAACCATAAACCCTAAACCGACTCCACCGTTGGCCACGGGGCAAATATTAATGAAGGTTCCTCGGCGCCAGGACAGGGCTCGCCAGCAACTGTAAACTAAAGTTTTTACAACTTTTCGGCTCTCATAAAACCATCCGAATATTTATGCACTCGTTTACCTGAAGAGGCGAGGATCTATCAACCTATGGTTGTGTGAATATATACGTGTACACCGAGAGAGAGAGAGAGAGAGAGATACACGTCACATGCAAGAGACTTCTTGACGTTGTGCTGTATGTTCAAACCTTCTACATTTAGCGAAATCGATCGCTCTGTGCTTGTATCTCTTTCTCACATGCATGGACTCGAGTCGATCGTGCTGCAAATCAACTAGCATGCCACACGCTCTTTCGGAGCGGCAGACCCTCGGAAGACCTACAAACTCTACAAATAACTTCTACCACATGTGACTACGCATAATGTACTAGAAATTACTACCAATGGTGAACCGTACAAGTACCTTCAACAGAACTAATTGCATCTATTATGCAAATTATGTGACATAGGTGGCTCCGAACGCACATCTAGACCTTAGTGCGACAGCAATCTTACTCGACATTAAACACGGCATAAACTCCTTCAAAAAACCGGGCAATTCTGGGCTCTGCTGAACGTTCAGTGTAAATGGACATGTACACCAGCTTACTTGCACTGCCGTGTGTCACTAAACAGCAATGCTGTAGATGCCCGTGGGTACTTTGCTTGCTGGAAGTTGGTGAAATAACACCGCACCATTCTGACTGAAACTTCGCGAAACACTACCAAACCACCTAATCCAAAGCACAAACCTCAACCTGGGACAACACCCAACTGCTGCATCGCATAGTTCGCGCGCGGAAACTATTCAGAATTGTATAGGGGCCAAAATAATTACCTATACTAGTTTGGGGGCTCCTTATGTTAACTTTATTGTATAACATACCCCAAAACCCTATTCTAATTATTAAGGCCCCTACATGAGCTGCTTTTCTGCAGAACCCGGCGAGCTATAGGGGACGCATCTCGGTAATGACCTGGGCACTGCCGCGACGGAAGTAGCAGAGCAAGGTAGAAACAGAACAATCCTTAATGGGGTTTTGGGGGCTCCTTTAAAGGGTTCCTTAAAGGGCTCTATAAGGGCTACTATAAGAGTTTAGGGTTTAGGGGCCTTAATAATTAGAATAGGGTTTTGGGGTATATTATACTACAATTATAATAAGGAGCCCTAACAATAGTATAGGTAATTACTTAGGCCCCTACATTAAGCCTTCTAAACCATACAGACCGGCTCAACCCTCAACTCCTGCAAAACCAACTCCTAAGCCTCTTCAACCCTACGAGCCCTCATAGTGTAAAAAGCCTAAACCCTAAACCCTAAAACCCTAAAACCCTAAACCCTAAACCCTAAACCCTAAACCTTACGTATCCCTTGCAGCTCAGGCTCCGATATAGATGCGCAGTGTGTTCCTTATTCGGACTGTACGACCAAGCTTGAGGGATTTAGGGTCTCGCAACTCGGACAATGTCAGACGTGTCTTGTGTCGTATTTTCAAGGGAGTGAAGTCTTTGGGGCCTCTAGGGGCGTCGCAATTTTCAAGGCTCCAGTCTACGGGTATAGGTGGGTTTTGTACGATTTGTTGGCTTTGAGAGTCGAGAGGGCAGATGTGCGGGTTTCAGAGAAGTCGGGTCGACCTTATTCCTTACAGTCAGGAAGCTAGTTGAGGTCTTGGGAAACTGCCATGTTTAAGGCGTTTTCGGGTTTCAAAGTTTGGATCTCAGGCCGTCCAGGGACCTCATAACGAAGGAATACTCAGAACCGTCAGAACAAACCACGATGCAAGGAACCCTGAACCCTCAAACCTTAAACCCGCGGATGATATCGAAGACCATACTGAATTAAGAGTCGGGCGATTCTCGTAATTCTCAGCCTTCTTCAAGTATCATTTCTAGACAACCCATTCATAAGATCCTGGTTTGTTGGAAGGCTTCGACAGTGGTGACAGTCACCCAAAAACTGCATGCTACTACGGATTCTATATCCTAATAACAAAACCCAGCGAACCCTTCTGGAGATTGGACGGTCTTAACCCTAAGCCCTGAAACCCTCAACCCTAACCCTTTTGAAACCGGACTTGATGACTGCCAGCCCCTAAACCCTAACCCTAAACCCCTATACCCTAAACCCTTAACCCCAAACCCCAAACCCTAAACCCTAAACCCTGTTTGACCTTCAGGGGTTGTTGCCGGCTCCCTGAACCTGGAAGCCTCACCGCAAAACCCCCCAAAAGGCATGAACCCGAAACCTGGGCCCTATAATCTTATAACACCCCATAGGGTTTCGGGTTTTAGGGTTTTTTTCCCAGGGTTTAGGGGTTTAGGACCACTTTTCGCCTAAACTTCTTTCCCCTAGTACCCTTAGAGCGATGCTTATTTTTGTCGCCCGCAAAGACACGGTAAGCCGAACGCCCTCCTCCTTAAAGCACCGGCTGCAGGCCACACCCCCCCAAACCCGAACCCTAAACTCTAAACCGTCATGAATAAACAGACCTGAACTAGTATGCAACCTGAATTTGTGGTAGAATAAATTGTTGTGTTGCAAGGGAGGCTGAGATAGTATGATTAGATTGGGGCCATAACGGGGAACTAGTACTCGATGTGCAGACTACCTGAAGTAATTTCGTGTTGTTTCTTCCTGCAAGAACCCTAAACTACATCGCAATATAAGGGCGTGAGTAGTTGATGATCTTTCTGCCACATAGCTCCTAAAGTAACTATATCACAATCCCAGAACTTTGGGTTTGGGACACTCAAAAACTACGGGAATTCTCGGAAGACATGCATAAGCTATGAGGTCTTACAAGGTCCTGAGGATCCTTCATGAATTGAAGCCGGCGACCACTCGTTTAGGATGTTTAACAGTGAAGGGTCTTTGCTGCCCCCTACCTCCCGAAGACATCGCCCCCAGGGTCCAGGGTTCTAGGGTTGAAGTAATGTAGGGGCCTTGCTAATTAGAATAGGGTTTTGGGCTCCTTTTATAGTATGTTTATAAGAAGGAGCCGTAACAATAATATTGGTGATTCTTTGGGCTTCTCTATATTCAACCAATCTCAATCTGACCAAGATTCTTGCCATCGATGTTGTTAACGATGCGTGGGTCCTTTCGGCTCTTGATGGTGGGCCACTCCTCAGGACAGGGTTGATGTCAAAGGCCAAAGCCGGAACGAGGTCAAGAAAGGTGGGGGTCCCTTTAAGGGGTTCCTTACAGGGTTCTATAAGGGTTTCCTAAAGGGTTCTCTACAGAGCAAGTGCAGGCTAAAAGCAACTGGTCATGCTGCTATGCATGGACAGGCATTATGATTCACCAAACCTCGGGGCCATGTCTTGCTTGGGAGCGGTCTTACGAAACCAACTGCAATATATTTTGAGAAGCCCCGAATACAGCACGTAGATAGTTGCGTTTCTGCTTGAAAACGCTAGGCACCTCGGTGGGAGTGGGACGCCGGCCAAACCATGACGGATCTGCGGGTCTAAGAACTCTTCGGGTGCTGTTAATGCCTAAACACTATGTTTAGGGTTTAGGGTTTAGGGGTTAATGTCTAAACACTATGTTGACCATTATTTTGTCGAGAAGTCTCGGCCCCCAAAGTCTAGGGTTTGAAGCTTGCACACCCTTTGCAGCACGGGCTCTGGGATGTTCATTGCAGGCTAAACCCTAAACAAGTTCAGGGGTCCGTCTTCTTGCACATCTTGTAGATCTGCGGCACGGCGCCAAGAAGACCCACACCCTGAGCCAGCGCGGAGAGGGTGAACTGCCATCGGAGCTCCTGCAGGTGGGTTTGAGAACTACCATAAGCCCTAAACCCTAGACCCCGAAACGCGAAATCCTAGTCTCCTAGATCCCCGAAACCCTAAACCACCAAGCCTACACCCCCAAACCCTAAACCCCGAAACTCTAAACCTCCTACACCCTCAACCCCTAAACCCTGAGGCAAGAGGCTAGAGGGCCTCTGGGCCTTTGGTTTTCAGGCTTCTAGCCTTACGGTTTGAAGAATGCTTTGTGAATCTTTGGGGGTTTGGGTTTAGGGTTCATGAATCTGAAGGTGTTAGGGGTTAGGGTGCTCCTTGCCTCCTACTTAGCAAGGACGTGGCGGCATTGCAGGGTGAAGGGTGTTTAGGCTTTAGGCTTCAGGGTTTAGGGTGTTAGGGCTTTAGGGTTTAGGGTCTTTTTGAGTGTATCCGTTTACCCCAGGAGTGCTGCTTCAGCTGGCGTGTTTGGGCTCCAGGGCTTCCACTGGAGTTCAGTGGCGCGGGATTCTTCAAGAATCCTGAGTGTTTAGGGTTTAGGGTTTAGGGATCCCTAATCCCGTTGGAGCACAGGCTTGGGGTGTATGCCGGCAAGCTGGAATCTTGATCCCTATTCGCCCTCATCCCTAAACCCAAAACCGCAGGGTCCCTGAAGAACCCTCTGAGGATCCTTAAAGATCCTTAAAGAACCCATCCAAGAGCCCTTTAAATTTGAAGGAACCCTTAAAGGAACTTCTCGAATCCTTTGAAGGAACCCTTGAAGGAGCTTCAAAAAAGCTTTGAAGGAATCCTTAAAGAAGCTTCTACAAACCTTTGAAGGATCAGAATCAGTTCCACCATATACAACACGAAAAGAAAGATTAAAAAATAGCAATTATTATGATAGTAAATAGTTGATATGAATTAGTATATATACTTGTGTAACTTGTAATAAAAAATTTAAAGGAGCTTCAACAAAGCTTCGAAGAAAGCCTTTATGTGGCCTTAGAAAGCCTTGGGGAGCTCTTAAGAACTTTGAAGTAACCAGGGAGAAAAAAGCACAGATTTTAATTTCACAGTGGTTCCCTTAAGGAACGGGTCCCCCCAAAAAGTATTCAAGTATGGTACTCCAGAACCCTGTTAAGAACTTTGGGGCCATCGCTGGCCGGTGTCCTCCCGGTCGAGCGCAGGGCCTCCATTCGCCTGTCCGGGACGCTAGGGTTTAGGGCTTTTGGCCTTTAGGGTTTGGGGTTTAGGGCTTTTGGCCTTTAGGGTTTAGGGCTTTTGGCCTTTAGGGTTTGGGGTTTAGGGCTTTTGGAGGTTGGGCTTTTAGGGCTTTTGGGGTTTAGGGCTTTTAGGGTTTAGGCTTTTCGCTGCTCACACTCGGACATACTCCAGGCGAGGCAGATGGTTCGAGGGCTGACCGAGGTGAAACTAAAGAGCAGCGAGCCATGATACAACACCTTTCCCATAACGATACAACAAACGAATCCCTAGATGTCTCGCTCACAGCTGAACGTCCCTCGCCTGAAAGCATCATCCTAGCTAGGGACTTCCAGCTCTACATCCTGGGATCACTCGTGCACGGGGATGAGGTGCGTCTCGAGACCATACGGGTGATTATCATAGCCGCCGGGAAGGAAGCGGGTAATTCAATGGGGGTCCTTGAAAGCTTCACAATTTCCAGTGGAGCTCCGTGTGCAACTACTACGCATGCCCTTTCCCAACCACAGAGGACAATACCACCCCATCTCGAATGCTATCCAACCACAGAATTCTGGATGGTCCACCTCGTGCATAAATAGAAACAGGATTTAAGCCTCTAGGGTTTAGGGTTTTAGGGTGTGGGCTGTTACGGTTTAGGGCTTATACTTCTGGAAACTCGAGCAATGTGGCTTCCAGGGTTGAGGGCTTTCTTGATGCTCAATCTCGGGCAAAGTTCTGAAGAGTATTTGCGCCAGGCCGGCTCACCTAGCACGGGCTTTTTTCCCACAGGCTTAGGGTGTTAGGGTGTTAGTGTTCTTTTCACGGGGCATTTTCCCTCTTTGGGTTTAAGGTCTAGGGTTGTGGGGTTTAGGGTTCCTATTATCGGAATTATGCAAAAGTGATACAGGGAACTATAAGGGGGATACTGTTTGGATGACATATACTGGCTATGTAGGGGCCGTAAGGTGAAACCCATAACAAACTATACTGTAACTAAATTGGGATGATACCGGGATGCTATGAATAACCATTCCGACTTCTATATTGAACCCTAGCTAAACCCCTAAGCCTAAACCCTAAACCCTAGACCCTAAGCCTCAACGGCCGAATACCGAACTCCAAAAGCAAAGAGCCCTTCGGTTCAGGGCTTTAGGGTTCAGGTTTTAGCGTTTAGGATTTAGGGGTTTAGGGCTTAGGGAATCTTACTAGAGACCGCCAGCCAACGGGCTCCTCAAAACCCCAGAAATCCTACAAGCCTTCTAAACTGTAAACCCACGACACTCTAACAATCTCAGCAATGAGAACAACAAGATTTGTGAGTATCTGATTATTGTAGCAGTCGTAATGGCAGTAGTAGCAGTGGTGGTAGTAGCAGCAGCAGAAGCAGCAGCGCGCAGCAGCAGCAGCAGGAGTAGTAGTAGAAGAAGAAGCAGTAGCAGCAGTAGCAGTAGCAGTAGCAGTAGCAGTAGCAGTAGCAGTAGCAGTAGCAGTAGCAGTAGTAGTAGTAGTAGTAGTAGTAGTAGTTGTTGTTGTAGTAGTAGAAGAAGAAGAAGCAGTAGCAGCAGTAGCAGTAGTTGTAGTTGTAGTAGTAGTAGTAGTAGCAGCAGTAGTCCCAGCTTCGGTTCAGTGCATGGCTTATAGGGCTTAGGGCTTCGAGCGCTAATGGGGCTCGCCGGGTCTGGGGTTGGGTTATAAGTTTAGGGTTTAGGGTTTAGGGGTTTTTTGACACTCACACTCGGACAACGCCTGGCAAGGTCTGTAGCGATACTGCTCCTACGAAGTTTAGGGTTTAGGGGTTGAGGGTTTCGTTAAAACCGCTCCGCGGCTTAGGGTTTAAGCAGCTTTTGGAATATTTGGGTCCTGGAATTTGCAATGCGCCTTCACAAGACAGGCAGTGGTTGGTCATCAGCATCGGAGGAGGGTGCCAAAAGCCGGTGCACTTTCTGTTGCATGACATCTCTGGTTCAAACGGAGGGTGAGACAGACCCAACTCTGAACGTTCAGGAACGGTTTCGTTGGCAACGTAAGGGGGCCTTAATAATTGGAGTCGGGTTCTGGGCTCCTTTACAGTACATTTGTACCAAGGAACCCCCCCGAAAAAAAAGTTATTTAGGCTTCTGTATTCATGATTTTTGGGCCCCTCTATTGCGCTTCAAGCCTTGGACCTCAAAGAAGGCAGCACCGGCGCCTGGTATTCGGCGATGAAAGTATCCAGCAGCTGATCCAAAGTGGAGTTCAGAAAGTCCTAAAGCCGAGGTTTCAGAAAGGGGTACCCTCATCCGGGGCCCTTGCAATGAGGATCCTGAATCTGGAGGTTCTATATTGCGGTTTCTGAATCTCCCATGTAGAGGATCTAAAAGTTCAATGTCCTCCAGTTAGATGTTCAATCCATGCTTGGAGCTCCGGGTTCATCGTCCAATAAAAGGGCCTTAATAATTAGAATAGGGTTTTTGGGGCCCCTCATTCTATAATTACAATAAGGAAGCCCCGAAAAATTGTAGGTAATTCTCAAAGCCCCTACATTAGGCTCCGGCTGGTGTCTTAGTTCAAGGACACGGGGATCTCCGGTGCATGATGCGTTTCCTCTTGACACTAACAGCGCGGCAGAGACCTCTGGGGCCTTTCGGGCTTGATATGCCCACGCCAGCTCAGGAGGCCTTGTAAGGTTCGCTTATGGTACTAACCCACAGACAAAATGATATGCGCACTGTTCCAATTGGTAGCCTTAGCAACAGTAATTTCATTACGGAAACACATATTAATATTGACGTTGTTGATGTTATTGAATTTTCTTGCTTGTGTTAAGGTGTATGAAGATTTAAATTTCGCAGTAGTAGTAATAGTAGTAGTAGCAGTAGTAGTAGTAGTAGTAGTAGTAGTAGTAGTAGTAATAGTAGTAGTAGTAGTAGTAGTAGTAGTGGTAGTAGTAGTTGTAGTAGTAGTAGTAGACACGGGGCCCACTCGGCGCCCCGACAGATTCATCGATTCTTCTGCTTGGCAGGGCGTGGGGGGTGGGGGGGTGGGGGGGGGGCTTAATAACGTGCTGTGCTGAAGACATCACAGCTCACTCCTTCGCACACCCATTCTACGACTACCCTCCTATCTAGAACCCGAGATCTAAACCCCAAGACCCTGGGTTCAGCCTTTCGCAGATTCGTCACTCCAGAGAAAGAGAAAGGGCGAGAGAGAGCGAGAGAGAGAGAGAGAAACCAACACCACACAAAACCTTACCCCACAGCACCTCAACGCCTTGCAGAACGACCCTCCGAAGGAAAGACCCTGAACCTCACCCTGAACGAAAGGGGCCCGGACCCAAGCAAACCCAGAGCCCCAGCAAACCCAACCCACAAACCCAAAGCCCTGAGAGAGAGAGAGAGAGAGAGAGAGAGAGAGTGCGGATGTGTGCGTATGTGTGTGTGTGTGTTAGTTATATATATATATATATACATACATG